CAAATAAAAGTAATATGATCATACCCAGTCATCATTATCATACCCAGTCATCGTCATACCCAGATCACTATACCCATTATAAATGTAATATTATCCCAGTGATAATGTTATAAAGCGTATATTTTAACATAACTTACTTGGTTTTTATAATCACTCATCTTTTTTACGCCATTCATTGCAATGAATTCAATAAATGCGCCACGCATTCAGTTGTTTTTCACTATTGGCATTTTCGTTACGACCGTCACGGTTACGACCGTCACGACCAAAAATATAATAAAACTCTTGTAAAACATTAAGCAAAAACTATAAAACTTGGCATATAGCAAGATTAATATGTAGTGAATGCACACAGCAAAGGTTTTATTTTTCACCGCTTAGATGACTGCATAAAGATTGTCATAGCCGATTTGTTTAGAATAGTCAAAAAGTAAGCGTTACGACCGTCACGCTACGTTAAGACGATTTTTCAAATAAGTTGAAGATTTGAATACTTTAAATTTTGTATACTAAATTTTATAATAGTATTTAAAATTTCTGGAAAATTTCAAATCAATATTATTCTTATTTGACTTTTAATAACTAAAAAAGTGTCAAATGTTACAACCGTCACTTGCGTGGAATTGCCCATATATATATATATATATATATATATATATATATATATATATATATATATATATATATATATATATATATATATATATATATATATATATATATATATATATATATATATATATATATATATATTTATATATATATATATAAATCCATATATTGTAGTCAAAAGAGACTTTTATGGTAAAAAAAGTCTCTTCGACTACAATTTTTATTACCTCAACTCTTAAGCTGTATTTTATTGTCGTCAAAATGTCAATGCAGAAATATGCAGAAGTACATTTAATTAAATTGTTTTTTTAAATCGAACTACATCGGCTATCTTATAGCCTGATTCGCAATGGAGTGCTGCTACATCGACTGACAAACAGCCTGATTCGCAAGGGAGTGCTGTTACATTGACTGACAAATAGCATGACTCGCAAGGGAGTGCTGCTACATCAACAGAGGGTTTGGTTTGGGCAGACAGTCTATCATTTGAGAAAAAAAACAACTAAGTTTTAAAACTTTTTCTGGTCTGGTATATTAATATGCTCTTTAAAACTGCAGTTTATGGGAAAAACTTTCAGACTACTATGTGAGACTATATATATATATATATATATATATATATATATATATATATATATATATATATATATATATATATATATATATATATATATATATATATATATATATATATATATATATATATATATATAAATTTTATATATTAACCTTATGGTACTCAAAAAAGAAAATATATTTTAAGTATTAGTGTAATTTTATATTTTATAAAATATTGCTGAAGCAAAAAGCGTGTTTTAGTTTAAATAATTTTAAACATAAAACTAACTTTTATTAACTATGTATTAAATATAATTCTTACTTTAATTTTAGAAAATTTTACCTCAAGAGCTATTTCTCTTAGCTTTTCTGAAGATTGGTTTACTAATACCAGCAAGTGTTCAACTCTTAATATATTGCTGTAAACTTTTTTCAACAGATTTTCTGGCAAAATCTTTAGTGTAGACTGTAACAATTCTAATAAACCAAGTCTTAAATTAAAAAAGCAGTCTGCATCAGTTGTAGCAAATTTTTTGGGCATAAAACTTCCCACCTTTTGTTCAATAAAACCATCAACAACTAAATACTCTTCATGTCCTTCATAAGATGATGGAAGTTCTGAATCAGAAATAATATCATACTCTTGAGACTCAGCCAATGTTGTTGATGCCTTTTTTATTTTATTTTTTGGATGCTCAACATAAGTTTTGGTATGAACAGCACTATCTGATTGTATTCTACGATGACCAAATTTCAATAAGTTGTGACGATTTAATAGTTTTCCATTGCATAATGAAGCAGAATCAGAGTCATTATCTTTGAACATTTCTGAGCTGGATCGCAAAATAATTACTTCAGACTGCATGGTTCCTGGTATTGAATCTTCTTGAGAAAGAATCACTTGAGGTGAGGTGCTATGCTTTTTTATTGAAAAACCTAATCTTTGTTCTGTTTCTTGACCACCATATGATGATGAAAATGACATAGTTCGTCTTGTTTGTAATTTTTCACTTAATGATCTGGATATATGTTTTCCACTAAAAACTGAAATTAAAAAAAAAAAATTAAACAAAAATTTATATATTATTTTTTATTTTTTTATTGCTTTCATGTTTTGCCATATAAATATATAAATACAATTAATATTTCAATATAAAAACAAATGGACGGGGCAAGCAGAAGACACAATTTGTCTTATCTCACTGAATTTATATCTTCAACAACTCTATTAATATTTGTATAAACTTTTTGTACTTCTAATTTGAAATTTATAATTTTATTAATACTTGTAATTTTACTGAACTTACACTTAAAATTGTATATTTATAGTTTAATGATAAATTTTATGTTACCTTTTTGCAAACAAAACTACTTCAAAAAATATAAATAAATATGAAGTGTCTATCAGATAAAAAGGTGACACAATAAAATTAAATATAAGAAAAACAAAATTTTGGTAATAATTAAACAGAAAAAAAATCTTATAAAAGATGATAAAAAAAAAAGGAGAAAACATATAAAAAAAATATATTGGAAAATATATTGGTTAAGTAGATAACCAATGATCTATTAAGGATCTTTCTCAAACACAATTTTTTTTTTTACTTTTTACCTTTTGGAATGAGATAAAAGTTTTCTGGAGAGTGAAGATTTAAAGTATCTATTGTTGGATGTGTAGCAATGAGAAAACAACAAAGACTTTTCAATACTGATATATCAATTGTTTTCCCCAATAAACTCTGCACAATATCAACATACAAACTGCACAGTGATGGATCCAGTTTTGTGGAGTGTTCTTGTTGCATTTCCTAAAAATAAATTTCAAATTTTTCAAGACCACTAAATAATCTTAAAAAAAATAAACTAGATAACAAATTTGTTTTACGGTTGATGATTGTGTAATATTAATTTTAGATAATGAATTACAAACAGTTTTAAATAAGATTTGTTAATTGTGTTTTTAATTTCTTTTACGTGAGTTATTTTTCATTCATTATTAGATGGAGGTAACTGGTAAATTTCATTATCAAATTTTGGAGCTCTGTCAGACTTAGCTTTAGAGACAAGCTTCCAACAATAAATTTCAACACTGCTATAATTTTATTGGATATAAAGTATTTTATTTGCCGTTTTTTTAGACTGAAACTTTGCTTTTTTACAAGGTAAAATGCTTTTATGTAAAAAAAAAAAAAAGCCTGTTTTGATAAAGCATTTTTCTATCATAGTGACAAAAACATAAGCCATAAGTGGAAGCCTGACCTCATTAGAATTTCATCAGTTTAAAATATTTATCTTTTGATGGACATAGATTTGTTCTTACTCCAGTCAGTTTTAATCAGAGATTGGCCCAGTAATGGTTGCAACTGAGCTTAACAAAGGTCTTAAAATAAAACTTATGCCAAACGAGCCCTCCTTATTTTTATAATTAGATAAATTGGTTTTAGCTTAAAAAAAAAAACAATCTCTAAATATATATCAATCTGTTCTGTATTTTACACCTATTTAGTTCTATTATTCTGATTCAGTTTCTGATTCTAAATTCAGTCTCATTCAAAAATCTTCCATAATTAAGTTAGACTTTTTTACCTTTTTTAGTTCTGCCAACATTAAAGTGTTAGTTCTTCAAGAGCTCAAATAAACTAATGGAGTAGCTGTGAGTTAAGGTTCTGCATTCTTGCAAAGAAATTTGCATCAATGCTAGTTAGTTGGAAATTAATCAATTGATTTTAGTTTAGTTTTTTCAAGAGTTAAAGAAACTCAAATAAAAACTAATTGAGAGAAAGGGTTAGGGTTGAGTGAGTATCAACTACTTTGCATTTTATTTTATATGAAATGCTAACTTTCAAATTAATGGAAAAGCAACTATTTTAGACAAAATAAACAAAATATTTATAAAAAACAAACTCTATTTAGATTACTAAAAGTTTCAAAAAAAAATGTTAAACATATGTTTGAAAATAAGTTACTAAAAGATTATAAAGTTTTAAAACGCCTGCACAAAAAAAAAACAAAAAAAAAAAACAAGAACTTCTAAAACAAACAAGTTTTTAAGACTTAAAAAAAAAAAATATTATAAATAATTTATAATAAATTAACTATTAGTTAATTATTATAAATAATTTATAATAAACTAACTATTAGTTAATAATTAGTTTAATATTAGTAATTACAACATCATTAATAAAAATATATTAATTTAGTGTTTAGAAGTCAAAAGGTTTGAAAAAGAGGGGTAAAAACAATTGATAAAGAAAAGAGGAAAAAAAAAAGAAAAAAAGAGTGTCCTCTCCCTCTTCCTCCCCCTCATCCTTAGGACCTTTAAAAGATGAATATATTTATTTTAAAAAATTGAAACTATTCAAAAATTCAAATTAAAAAAGTTTATGAAAAAAGAAAACACATAAAAAACAAAACAGTTTATTTAAACCATACCCGACAACCCATTAGAATATTTTCGACTACACCAGCACGTTGAAATTGCATCAAGTTAAATCGATGGTGGGGATGATCAAGACGAATCAAATTTTTTAAAACATTTAAACACAACAACTGAACAACCAATCCTGCTTTTCTCAAAAGTTTCCAGTTTTTTATTAAAAGTTGTAATATGCAAACATTTTTTACAACAGCAGTAGTAGAAGGGTTTGCAACACAATCGCTTATTTCTCCATTGTATACCGGACAAAATATTTGTCCATCACATATTGATTCAAAAATAATCTAATAAATAAAATTTAAATCCAAATCAAACTAAATTCAAGAAAAACTTAAACAATTTATTTATATGAATCATCTTGATCGAAACATAACCATGAATAAATGAATAATAATATAACAAATGATTAAATAATAAAATATGCAATAATTGTGTTGAAGCTTATACATACTTACTTTAAGAAGTTTCAGACCTGGTTTATTTGGAGTACAATCTAACACATGATTTATAAGAATGTACCCTGCTATGTCATTCATTTCACGTTGCAAATACAAGCAACAATTTTGAATAACAAATATTGTTTTTAAAACTGCTGAATGGATTTCTTCAGAATTAGGGTTCTCAGCAACCTGCAAATAAAAAAATAGTGAAATAAAAAAAAAGTGAAACATTAAATTAAAACAAAAATATGAAATTAAAACAATATAAATTTTTTTTTTTCCAAAAAATAAAATAAAATGTTACTCACCAAAGCATGCAAAAAAATAAGCACTTGAATACCACCACAGTTATTTATTGCCACTTCAAAACTGTTATGCGTATTTATTTGTATATTTCCTAATAAAACAGCTGAAGTCAAAGTGCCATCATGTTGCTCATCATTTTCATTACAGTAAGTATGTTGTATTTTTCCATTAGTTCTCAAGTAGGGAATGTACTGAACAAACTCATTGTGTGAGTTTGGACTATACTGAAGCATTAATGTTGACTAAAAAAAAAATTTTAGGTCAGATGAAGCAATTTAAAATAATAAATAGATTAGAAATAAAATAATGTAAATAATTACAACTAATTAAATATTTACAAATAACCTTTTAATGGTCAATATCACAAAGTTCTTTATTGAAAAAAAATATTTTTTTTTACTATTTATCATTTCATGTATCACATTTTCATCACAATACAACTGCAAGAGTTTTTTTATTATTATTTTCTAAATAATAAGCAGAGTTCAATTTTATAAATAAATTTTAAAAAATTTGTGTGCTAAAGTTAAATAAATTAACGTTGAACATGTGAATTGTAAAAACAATAATACTATTATATTAAAAAAAAATGAATAGAGATGTTGTAACTTTATAATAATCAAAAAATAAACTTAAATTATCAAAAGACTTAATTAGAAACATTTTAAATTTTTAGACACCATAAACAGGGTTTTTAACAGGATATTGGTCTGTATTGTAGCACTGCATTACACACAGTATAATTCAATGCTCTATGATAAAACTGTAAGAACTTCTTGAAACACTTTATTTAGTACACACTAAAACATAACACACCCTTTCTAAAAAGATACATGTTTAAATTATTACCTAAAATTTAAACAAACTGTCTAAATTTTAGGTAATAGTCATTTAGGTCTCTTCTGTCTCAGCTGAAGCCTTAGGTAAGCGAGTTTAGTGCAGCTTCACTCTGTTTTTATACATTTTTTTCAACCTGAGACATCACTAAAATATTAAGGTTTAAGTATCATGTGTGTCTCTGGAGATTTAATTACAGGTTTTGCCTGATCAGGTTTAATTTTTGAATATCTTCTACCAAAGAGCTATGACATTCTAAAAAATTTTAAAATATGATAAAATCTTAAAATTTTTCATGCAAACAATTAATTAAAGTTAAATAAAACTTGAAAAACATAAAATTTCAGGTATGAAACAATTACAGAAACTCCAGCTCTTATAAAACACTCAGTGTAAAACACAGCTGTTAAAAAAGGCTTATCTACTACTTCAATTTTCTTAAAATCAGTCAAGCTGGAAATGCTACCTAGAAGGATATAAACTTTCTGACAGTGTATACCCTTTGGCATAGAGCTAACATTTTTTTAGTCTGTACTGTCCATCACCAAACAACACCATTGTTATTAATTCTTAAATAACACTATTTAAATAAAAATAGAACATTAAGAAACAATTTTTTATAGAGTATTCAGTATGCTCAAAACTTTAATAGCTTCTTTACTTCTTTATTGAGAAAACAATAAGGTTTTCTTAAGCTGCAGCCAGCTATCAAAAACATTTTCATTTTTTACTTTTAATGCAACAAAATTTCAATTATTAGTTCCAACTATTTGGGGTTTCTTAAACAAAGAATTATTCTGACCATTTGGTTTACTACTCTATAAAATGTTCCAGCTGTGAATAATATGTATTTCATTTATGTAATGTCTGTATGCTAGGAAAAGTAGAGATTTGTCAATATATGTGGCTAATGTGTGAACCTTTTTTGTTACTTTTTTGTTTAAGATAAGGAATCCCAAGAAACTCAGTCTGTCCACCAATCCTGATGGAGAATAAGAAAAAAGTCTGTCAAGTTAATAGCTTTTTTCATATTTGCTACAAATTCATTTTTTCAATACTTATAAAAGGACTAAAAAACATTTTTTATGTTTGTAATGTTGTAATGTTTTTTTTTAAGTTTGTAATGTAGTTTACCTCAAATTTTTATTTACTGACAATACAGTTATATCATGAGCATACTGTATTTAAATATATTTACATATATTACAATAAATCATAGAAAGAGGAAAAATCACACAATCTCCCAAACAAATATAAGAGCAGAAGATCAATTAACAAAAAAAAAAACTGATTATGCAAAGAATTCTTTTTTTTTTTTAAATAAAAAAGTTCTAAAAACAACTAGTATATAAGATTTTGTTTTTTAGGGACGACATTGTGTAATAATTTGTTGCTTGTAAAAAAAAAAAAAACATATTTTATGAACAACAAATTATTTCAATATAATGGCCTTACAAATAATTTAAAGGTATTCAAATCAGTTATCCACAAATTAGTTATAAAGATATTACCTTTGTCTACGTTAACAATTACAAATACCTGTAATTCTGCTTTGATTATAGGAAGAACTTCTGAAGGATTTTCAAACAGCTTTAAAGGTATTGAGTTTGCAACAAGATTCTCAGTGATTATATTCATGCAAAATGATAACTCTTTAAAGACAACACTATCCCAATTTAAAGATGAATCCATATGACTGAAGTAAATAACAAAAAATGTACATAAAATGTAGTGTAGATATAAAAATAAATAAAAAATTAAAGTGCAGAAATATAATTTTAACTATAAAATTTTTCATAAAAAGATAATAAATTCAAATTTAAAAACTTTGTGATTAAAATAACTATAAATATTAAATTTTTCTAATTTAATACGTTTTTTGAGTATCTCTAAAACAAAGAAACTACTTTAACAAGTCGTAAGTTGACCCCAAGAGAAAAAAACCCTTAAATCTGGATATAATTAAAAAAAGCTTATTAGAACAATTAATTTCTTTGTTAAAAGAGACTTCATCACTGTATCAAAATAGATATAAAACTATATTAAAGAAAAGTAAGAAAAAACGTTATTGTAGGTGTTAAAAAAACTGGTGGAAAAATTTATTTAAATTAACTGATGCTAAATTAATTTCAAATTACTTTATTAACATCTAGGTGTTTAATTAAAAAAACAAACATTTTAAAAGTTAATTAAATCAAAAACAAAAAAACTGATGTATTTTGTAGATTAGTGGATAAAATACTTGATAATAACAAAACATACAAGAACACTATTGTTAATGTTAAGTTATGTAAATAACATGTTACAAGACCCATCAGTAAAATAAAATTTATTTTACTGATGGGTCTTGTAATGCTGTTACAGCATTTTTATAATGGTTTGAAATTTTAAAATGTTTTGATTTGATCAGATGCAAAGAAGAATTGATAAATAAACTAAATAAGATAAGAGGAAAAGAGTGCTGAAGCATATAACTGGATTCTTAATGATACAGGGAAAACAAAGAATAAAAACAAAAATATATCAATTCAAAAGATATAAAAATTTACATTCAGGTTTATAATAAGTAACCTGAATACAAATAACATGGGAAACAGCCATCGAAGAAACTTGGATCAGTCTCAATTATAACTACATATATCCTATTTATAAATGTTACTCTCTCCCCTCTCCCCTTATTTTAAAATAGTTTAACAATTTTTTTTTGAAACAGACTTTGACAATATTTTAAATATATAAAACTTATAAGAGAAGCCATTTTTAAACGAATCTAAATATATATAATTTTAAAAATGATTGCAAGCTAAAGTAGCAATTAAAAGTAAAAATAAAAAACTAATTGTAGTACCATTTAAAAATGACTAATGTGAAAATGACGTGAATCATGACTAATGTGAGTAGGATTAATAAGTAGTTTTTTTTTTTTAATTAATCATCTCCCCAGGGATGATTAATTTAAAGGCAGAGAAGATCACTACAGTTGAGGAGGCTACTTTTGTGGTTACAACCCTCTCTCAACTCTATGATTCTGAAACAAGAATCTCTATGAACAAGGCCATTGCCCAGAGAAATAAGTTAAGCGCAATACTACCAGGGAAGTAATGGTGATCCAACTTGGAACCACTCACTTATGAGGCGAGCGCTCTACCACTACACCACTACCGCATATATTTGACTTTTAAAATATAATGTAATGTAGCTATTTCAGTACGCACTACAAAAGTTATTTCAGTACACATTGCATATAAATATACCTTGTCGCATTACTTGATAAATTTTCATTGTTTTCAATGCTGACATTATTTGGTCCAAGAGAATAAATGTATATAGCTTTTAACTTGTTCATAACTGGTTCTTCCATATGATCGAGAGGGTAAGTTTGACCATTCTTTTTGTTTTTCTGCATGAAGGAATTCTTTCCTAAACAACAACTAATTATAATTAAAAAAAAATTACTGAACAAAACTACCAAATAACAGCAAATAATTAAAACAAAAAAAAAAATTAAAATTATGGTAGATTTTAATTTTTTTTTTTTTTTCTATGCCAGAATCTCTGGCATAAAATTATTTGAACTGGTCTTAGAACATCTATACAAAAAAAAATTTCTATAAAAGAAAATCTAGCAACTGAATAAGTTAAGGAGATGTTAAAAAATTGGTTATTAAAAAATGGTAAAAAAATAACTTTTGTTATATCTAATTTTTAAAGGTAAAAACACCAAGTTATATATTGAGAAGATTAGCCTTTATATTAAATCATCAACTATTGAAGGCTAAAACAATAGCATAATAAAGTCAAGTCTGTTTCTTATAACTAAATTAAAATAATTTTACTATGTGCAGATTCAAATAGCCTAGACATGAAACACCATTTGCATTTGCAAAAATTCAAGAAAAACATGAAAGTTTAAGCACAGAGAAAAAAGTAATGAAAAGTTTTGACAAAGTAAAAAGAATTTTAGAAGAATAAAAGATAAAGAAGGAACTTTTTTTTTTTTTACCTTAAAGTCTAAAATCTAGCCTGTAATATCTACATAGATCCTGGCCAATCCTAAAAAGCCTCATTGGAAATATATATACCTAAGCACCCACAGATTACACACAAACACAAATTACACTGCATACAGAAAGTTCTGCAGCTTAAAAATTATTCAAAGCTTTTAAAGTTTTTTTAGCATACTTTGCCTATGGCATGCAGAGTAGCCTTTGTCATATTGTAATAAAAGTTAAATCTAGGAACACTATACTTGGTAATCTTTGTCATTTAAATGAAAATGATCATATTTACAGTTTCAGCTTCCAAGGTGTGCAACAAGATTAGGCCAAACTTGATTTTTTCATTTTTCATGACTTTAATAAAAAATATTATTCTTTAAAAAAAGTTTATATTGATAGCAAATAAATATGGAAAACTAAATAGTTTTAAAAAAAAAAATTTATTTTGCTAAAAAATAAAATTTGTACCAAATGTTTGCACTCTCTTCAAGTTTTCTTACTTTTACTTCTACCAGTTTCTCCTGGAGCTGCTACCTCTCTACATGCTGATACCCAAACCACATTAATATTTTCTGACAAACATTGTTTAATACAACGTTTTTTCTAATATCTCTCAAGATTATGGCTCCTTTTCTGGTCTTTTTAAAGTCATATCACACATCCATCTGACCATTACCTTCTCCTTTGGCAAATACTATGCCATATAAATACTAAAGTTTATATAAATATGTAAAGATAATGTCAGCATCTAAATAAATAACAAGCATATATGTTTGTATTTATATATATGTATATCATGTATGGATAAATGCATCTCTTACCTAACCTCCCGGATCTAAGCAGGCATTGAAACTATTATTCCTTCTTGTCAGTTTAAAATCAAATCTAGTTCTACACATTTTTTCACCTTCTTGTGCAGTTACTTTATTAAACTGCAGAAATAAATCTCTGGAGAAATAATGTCTATTTATTATTGCGAGAATTCATGTAAAAAGAATTCATGTAAAAACCTTGAGAAAAGAATTCATGTAAAAGTCTGATGCTAAGCTCTGTTATTCTTAGTTTACTAAATCATCTATCTTATTTCATATGTTAGGTTCTAGAGGTATTTGGAAAATTTTTAACAGTGTCATTAAATAAAGTCTAACATTTATATATCAATCTCTAATTTATGGGTCTGATCTTATTACTTCTCTTCAGAATAAAGCAGATTTTTGAAAAGAGCTTTTCCCTTAATTTAACTCTTGAATTCCTGTTAAACGGATTAACCCATTGTTAGACATTTAAATCACTCTGGCTTCCAATGCTAAAGTTAATAATCAATTAAATTTTTATACAGCTCCTAGTTCAGAAAAGATTTCCATCATTTTTATTCAAAAGTGTTGTCCAGTAATCTAAATTCTTGTTAAACTATAAATAAATTCTAAATAAGTGGTTCTAATATTAAAAAACACTGAAGAAGTTAGTAGTAATAAAGCAATAATAAAGTTCTCCTAATAAAACACACTGATCTTTCCAACTATACCATTAGTCTTTTCTCTAGTTAATTTATATAAAATTTTTAAGATTATAAAATCATTTTTTTCTATCTGCAGTAGTAAAGTGATTCTTGAAGGCCTACACCTTTTTTCATTTCAGTAACTTTAGGAGTGCCGCAACATTCTACCTTTGTACCTGTATTGCTTCTACAATAATATACAATAAAATGTACAATAAAAATTTACAAACAATATTACATCTAAAGTGGCTCTATTTGCTGACAAATCAACTTTATACTCATGTCTTGACAAAAAGTCTTCACATTTTTTTGCTTATAACAATCAGCCAGTCTTTAATCTGATCTCTCTTCTATAACAGCTTGAAGCTTGAGGCTATAACAGTAGTGGCTTGTTGATTTTTAACTCCAACAAAACTATTTACTGCAAATAACTATCGCAATATTGTTGAAATTCCTATATTGATGAATAACAACCCTCTCACTCTCAAACAAGGTCCGAAAGCACATTGCAAACGCAGTTTGACCTGCCTTATTTGTAAAGCTTGAGCCACATTCCCGTTGCCTAAGGTTTTATTTCTTTCTTTTTTTGTGCTCAAATTGCTCAAATAAGCAATCATCTTTTGATCAACTAAAACTCATTCTTGCTTGGCTTGATTAACCAAAACTTATTCTCGTTTGGCTTGTCATTCAGCAAAGTCGCACTTTTACTGTATCTGTCCCTTCATACTTCAAAACTTTTTAACCATCTAGTTTTTTTCCTTGCACATCACCCATCTTCCCATTTGTTGACTCCTGCAACTTTTTAAGTTTTCAGTTAAATATCTCTGCTCTTTAACCCTACTCTTTATTTTCTAGTAACTCATAACTTAATAGGTTGTATTTATATATATATATATATATATATATATATATATATATATATATATATATATATATATATATATATATATATATATATATATATATATATATATATATATATATATATATATATATACATATACATTAATATATATATATACATATACATTAATATATATATATATATATATATATATATATATATATATATATATATATATATATATATATATATATATATATATATATATGCCAGTATTTATTAAACAGTAAATGTATGTATAAATTTATAATATATAAAGTATTACAAATTTTTTCCTAGCCCTGGGTTGTAAAAAGTCCCATTTTTAATTAGAGCCAGGACCCAAGTCAATTAACCCTTACTAATTAGTGGTCATCTTTTTTCTCTCTTTTCTTTCAACAATTTTTTCTTTTCATTCATATTTAGTATCTTGAGTTTAACCATGGTTAATTAAAGGTTGCCACATTCTCTAGCTTGTTTCCATTAATAAAGATCAGTGGCAAGATCTTTTTAAATTTAACATAAAGCAACTTTTTTGGCCCTTAGTACCTCCAAATAAAACTTCTAAAGTTTGAAAAAAGAAAGAAAGACAAAACCTGGACTTGATATATGATGTTTGCAGAAAAACCAAGGTATGTTTCAACCAAGATATGTTTCAAAATAGGTTTGAGTCAAAAATGTTAGTAAGAATTGATATTTCTTCATCGTATTTAGCAGTATATTTTAACTGGTTGTATCTGAATTACCTGCAGAAACTTATAGTATTAAAAATCTCTCTTGCCTAAACTTCTTCCTTTGATGTGAACAACTAACAGAATGTCTTCTGAATTAAGAGCATCTGGAGTAAATACGCATAACTCCAGTCTGTAATTTGTAACAGAAAAGTTTTTATGCTCACAAATTTGCCTCACCAATTTAGTTTCTGCACACAACATTAACCTTTTGCCTTTCAATTTATCTATGATTTCTAACAGTCGTTTTTTTAAAATAATTTGTCATAAACTTTTTAACTTTTTGATATAAATTATAATTTTTAAGTTTTGTTAAATCAAAACACATTAACACTGAAATACTTCCAGTTCAACATAATTTCATAGTTTGATAGATAACACTGTTTCATATGCATTAAATTATTTATTAAACTAATCCATTGTCAAAAACTAAATTTTATGCAAAAAATAGTGTGAACTCAATTTCTGGATAATGAAATTGTAAAATAAATTGAACAAAATTTGAAATTTGGAATATGGTGTTTGAATACAAGAGAATAAAAAAGAATAATAAAGCATTTTCAAGTAAACATTATTCAAATGTTTCTAATATTTTTCATGCAAATCCAAAACAATTTAAAAGAGTTCAAACTTGTCACTATTTTATTTTTTATAGAAATAAAACAAAATCTGAAGTCAAAAGAGTCCATCAGTTTTGACCCTGGAGTACTAGAGTTGTACATCCTGAATACAAACACACACATACATATCTCTACCAGATATAAATTTACCCACTTTTTTGCCAACCTAAATCTATATGATTTTTTCACAAAAAGAAAAAAACAAAAAAAATCAATTAAAAGCAAATTTAGATCAGCAATCTGACTGCTGTGAGGATTTTAGTGCATACATCAACTGATTTAGGAAGAACACGCAAGGGAGTTGTTGCCTCGTTGACTTGGGACTTGGGTTGGGACAGCGATAAGATTTTATGTGTGTGTAAATATGTATATATATATATATAAATATATATATATATATATATATATATATATATATATATATATATATATATATATATATATATATATATATATACATATTTATTCATATACACATACATACTTATAGTATTATATTTAACTATATTTTATTGATGTTTAATTGTAAAAGCCATTTGTACCTTGAAAAACCATGAAAACACCTGTGTTGAGGAGCTTACTGTAACTTGTTCTACTTTTTAGTTCAACTTCATTTAAACCATGCCCAATAAGCGCAAATAATGACATTTGGCTTTGAACTGATTGACTTGGGTACTTCATTTGAACAGAAGAAAGTTGGCAACCATTTAAAAATGTTACAATCTAAATTTTTGATATATGTGTGTGTATATATATATATATATATATATATATATATATATATATATATATATATATATATATATATATATATACATATATATACATATATATATACATATATATATACATATATATATACATATATATATATATATATATATATATATATATATATATATATATATATATATATATATATATATATATATATATATATATATATATATATATATATATATATATATATATATATATATGTATATATATATATATATATATATATATATATATATATATATATATATATATATATATATATATATATATATATATATATATATATATATATATATATATATATATATATATATATATATATATATATATATATATATATATATATATATATATATATATATATATATATATATATGGAATTAAGAAAAATCAGGTCAGCAAATAATTGCAAATCTAAAACTCTTTTAGGTTGGCATCAGATCAGCATAAAAATTTGGAAACAGGGTTCGACAAACCAAAGAGTGTGTGATCATTTAGCATTAAATTGATAAAAAAAACATACGCCAATAATTTCAAAATAAAATATTACAAAAAGTTTTTTTAAAACCATTCATTTTAATTGCTATGTTTACAATTTAATAAATGGTTCATATTTAGAACTTAAATAGAATCAATCATATAATTTTATAGGCAATAATCTTCATTTAGAATTAAAAATTTATTTTTAAACATTAAAATCTTCATTTTGAATTAATTGGGTTTTTTAGTATTATTTTATTTGAAATTTAATTTGTTTTGCTGATGTGTTTTTTAAATTAATTTGTTGAGAATTTAAGTAAAAAGTCTGTTTTTCTGTTTTTATTTTAACAATTTTATTTAGAATATAGAGTAAAATGGGGTCAAATGGAATAGTTAAGGATTTTAATTATTAATTTTTTACGGAAAAAAGATTTTTTCTTTTACTTTTTTTTAAGTTGTAGAAAGTATTGAGCTGTATTTAAATATATAAAATTTTGACAATTTTTTTGTAAAGTTTTTTATGAAACTTTATTTGATTAAAAAAAATTTTATTCTATTCTACACTGACATTCGGGGAGAATGAAATACACAAATATATGTGTAATTAAAACAACACTTTATTAAAAAAAACAAAAAAGCAATCAATAATAACAATTAAAAAAAAATCAATAATAACAATTAAAAAAATCAACCAAATAAAATAAACTTTTTTGTTCTTGAGCCGTTTAGAGGTACTAGGGGTTGAGTTGAGTTTTCACTTTTGCGGCACTTTTTGTAGCAATAAAACTCAGAGCCTTTTACGTATCGCTTTGGTATGCATGTTTAACATAGCCAAACCTTGCAATTTGAATTTTTACACTGGTACCATTTCATAATTTGACTTGCTGAAGTTTCGCCCAAAACTTTTCAACACTTTTTACACTTGAATTGGTTTGCAGCTAATATTTTCGTTAGACTTGTTGCTTGGTTTATTTGCTGTTCTCCATTAGAGCTAAGCTTAGGTTGTTTTTTAGCTTGCTTTGCTGCTTTTTTGCTCTCAGCATCTTTCAACCTTTCCTTCAAATCTTGGCACATCGGCATTTTTTCTTTTTGTTGTGTCAACGTGTTGGATATAAAACATTTGTTGCAAAGCTGACCCAAGTGATTGGACTGATTGCAGTTGTTTTGCAACATCTTTTTGAATTTCCTTTTGAATAGTCAGAGTTACTACAATATTGAAGGATGTTTGCAGACAAGGTGACTTTTGAGATGACTTTGGAGCTGATGCTGTGACATATGCTGATGCTAGATGTTATTGGTGTAGATTCAGAGGGCAGTGGCTGAGGTAGTGTAGTTCCTGGTGCTAGATTTGGTGATGGCACTATCATAGATTCTGGTTGTTAAGATGATGAAGGCTCAGGTTCAGATCTTGGTGTTTCAAATGTATTAGAAATTTGCAACTTTGACTGATCGATTTTATCGATGTTGAGTGCATACAAACCAGTATTCTGAAACCAAGTGACTATCTGGGTACGAGTAAAAACTTCACCAGAGCTGAAAAGTTTTTTTTGCAGGTGACTGAAATATTCTTTTGATAATTTGCTAAACTTTGTCTCTGCATAAAACTGTTGAAGTAATTTGCGCCAAACTCTTTTGACATGTCAATAAACACCAACATCTAGTGGCTGTAGAATGTGCAACGAATGAGCTGGTAAGCAAATTAACAAGAGAGTAACTAGCGAATTTCATTCATTTATTAGAACCATTTTATAAAAGCAGTAAATTCAGTAAAAGTCATTTAAATTCAGTTAGAAAAATTTGTTCATTGAAATTTATACAAAAAATTTATAATTGGAGATTTATTGGTCACTTGAGATCTAATAAAAAAAAGCCACTTTTAAGAAATAAGCTATTGCTTCGTATTTATTTATTTATTAGCGTATTTCATTCAACCCCGCAACACTCAGTTTCCGTTTTTAATTCATAATTTTTTTCCCTAATTAGCAAATTTCATTTTGAAAAAAGATTCTTGATCAGCATAAAAAGTTGCATCAGTAAACATTTTAAGTTCAATGAGAACAAATTTAATTTCCAAGAGTTTTAAGTTCCATTTTCGAAGAAATAAAAAAAATCTTATTACTCATTTGAAAATAAAAAAAACTTTATTTATAACAAAATTTTATTAGTTAAAAATAAAATTTTATACAATCTTACTAAGAAAAATATTCTTTACAATATAATCAAAAAATATTTACATAAAAATTATTCAATAGTTAATTAAGAGCAAAAGAATAAACATTGTCATAACTATTTTGTTCTACCCGCTATTTCAATTTATTTTATCATTTTATTCTAGTTATTAAGATAAAAAAAAACTTTAGTTTTTTAGTTAATATTTGAATTATTTAATTTAGAATATAAGACATCCATTTTGACGTTTTTATTTGGAATATAAGACATTCATTTTGTTGTTTTTATTTTAATTATTCTATTAAAAATTTAAACATAGCATTTATTTTTTCAGTATTAATTTTATAATTTTATTAAAGTTTAAATAAAACTTCTGCTTTATTGAATTATTTTATTTAAATTCAAAAGCATTTGTTTTTTTTTGTTTTTACTTTAATAATTATATTGATACTTAAAATAAAGCATTTGTTTTGCTGATTTTATTAATTCACTTAGAATTAAAATTAAACTTTAATTTTGTTTAATTAGTTCTAAATAAAATTATCAAAATTTTTATTTTGATAATTTTATTTAGAACTAAAAAAAAAGGTTGTTTTACCAAATTTTTTTATTTATTTTATTTAAAATTTAAATGAAGCCTTTGTTTTGTCATTTTAAATTAATTTGAAATATCAAGTAAAATTAAGTTTGCACATTCGGAGATCAGACATTATCAGGTGGGCATTTCCGAATGCCAACCCGTATTCTGAGGTCTGTATATATACATAAATATATACAGTATATATATATATATATATATATATATATATATATATATATATATATATATATATATATATATATATATATATATATATATATATATATATATATATATATATATTAGTGTTACTATCTTATATCTATTAAAATCATTATTTATTGTTTTCATTGCTTAATTTAGATGCAATAACAAACTTTATTGTTTTAAAACTTTTGTCATTTAACAAATTTTTATCTAAATATTAACTTTAAACTAATATAAATGAAAGCAATACCTTAGCTGTGCTATGTTCAGATAATATAAAATGAAAGCAATACCTTAGCTGTGTTATGTTCAGATAATATAAAATGAAAGCAATACCTTAGCTGTGCTATGTTCAGATAATATAAAATGAAAGCAATACCTTAGCTATGCTATGTTCAGATAATATAAAATGAAAGCAATACCTTAGCTGTGTTATGTTCAGATAATATAAAATAAAAGCAATACCTTAGCTGTGCTATGTTCAGATAAAACTAATATTGAAACAACTAGATGTTGCCAAACATTAAACAATAAATTATGTGGCACAATGACATGATCAAATGTACTCCAAATTTCATTGTTCCCGTAACTTGAAACTAGCCATCTATAAATATATTTATATATTGAATTATAATAATAATTATTGTTATTTAAAACAATTATTGTTTTATGTTAAAACTTATGTTTAGATAACAATTTAAATATATATCTTGCCCACAAAAATACCCATTCATGTTACTATTAGACTGTTTTTACAGTTAAAAAACTCGAAATTTTTATGAAGATAATTTTAAAAAGTTATATTTAAGTCGGATTCATAAAAATTCATTTTTATACTGATTCCTATTATTATAAACATAATCCTTAAATTCATAGAATATAAAAAAAAATTTATTTAATTTTTTTTTTCTTACTGCATTGTAATGAAAGTCTAACAACAAATAGTCAGAAAAATAGAAAAAACAGATGCAATTTTTATTTTTTTATTTTTATCATATTTTTTCAATAGAAAGCTGTAGGAACTATTAGTAATTAATTTGTCTGTTTTAAATCAACTATTTTTAGTAATAAATAAAAGTATATAAAACAAAAAATAAAAGTACATAAAATATACACTAAAATAATAGTACATAAAATAAAAAATTAAACTACATAAAATAAAATAAAGAAATATGTTCTTAAAATACGATTTTAATTTTATTTTATTTAAAATATATATTTATTAAAATATGTATTACCTATATTGTAGACAGCCACTAGATGACCCTAACCAAACCTCAAACACTGCATTCAAAGCACCAAAAGAACACAAATGAAAAAACTCTTCAGAAACACATGTGTAGTGCTCAGGTGTATTAATTTTACTAGACTTTCTTCTTACTTTTGGCTCTATAAATTTACAGTCATTATCTTTTAGTCTGAACCAGATAGAAAGGCCTACCTCTTTATCTGGCCATATAAAATTACTCTTGAGTTGAAGTTTAATGGGAGCTACTTCCGAGGCTGGCTTATGTAAACCATTTAAAAGCTTTTTACTTTCTGTGTTGTCATATTTTAAAACTTCTTTATCTATTTTAAGTTTTGTGTTGTTAGTTGATTTTAAAAGTGTGTCAGTTTGAAAAAACGTGATTTTTTTCCTCTTGTTCCACAAACTATTGAATTGGACAGGAAACAATAAATATTTTGTAGGCCCATACATTTTGAAAGCAGTTTCACTCATTTCCAGCAACACAACTGCTAACCATCTCTAGATATAACAATTCAGGTAGAAAGATATAAAACTGCATAAATTGAGATTGCATCAAAAAAAGAAAAGAGGTCAACATATTAAATCAAAACAATAAACCATAAATAATAAATAACTTTATTATGTTATAATATTTAACGATATAATAAAATTATACTATTGCATAAACATTACAAAATAACATTACAAATAATGATTGAATTGAATTGAAAAAAATAACATTACAAATAATGATTGAATTGAATTGAAAAAATATATTTGAACTTTTTTTTTGTTATTACAATTTTCTGAATACTTTAACTAAATTTTCTATTTAATTACATTTAAATTTCTGAGCCTTCAGGTGGTTTTGTAAAATCACTGTGATTGGATTTACAATACTAAGAAATAAAGAATAATTTTATATCTTATAGTTTTATTAATTATATAAAGAAAAAAAAAGTAACTTCTATAAAATTAATATTAAAATTGGTAAGTAATAAAAATGCATGAAGACAAAAGAAACTTTGTCATTATTTATTCTTTATTATTAATTATCAAACTTTATTCTTGTTATAAAAATCATCCTTCGCACAATCATATTTTCTTTAAGTTAATTATTTACTCAAGAATTAAAAAACTTTCAAAATATTATTTAATTCATAGATTCTTTTTTTCCAGATTAAACTTAGTAAACTTATTTTTAAAGTAGATATTTATTTTAGAAATTTTTTATTTTCAATTTTTTGTAAAAAATAACTTCGTTTTCCTTTTTTTTAAACTAGGTTTAGATTTTTTTGAAATTTTTTTCTCTTTTCTCTAGATATTTATATCTAAGACATTTTAGATTATTTTTTATTTATTTATTTGATTAAATTTTTTTCTCTTTTCTCTAGATATTTATCTCTAAGACATTTTAGATTTGCTTAAATTTTTCTCTTCTGAACTACTTTAAATTTTTTTTTTATGGACTTGAACAAAAAAAATATTTTCCAAAAGTTGGCTGAACAAAAGCAAAGTTTAAAAATTTAATTGCAGAAATTTATTAGTAAATACAATTGAACCCAAAAAATCTTTTAATAAGCATTCAAAATAATCCCTATTATATTTGATTCTATTTAATTTCCTATTTTAAGCATTATTTTAAATAAAAAGATTTATTTTAAATAAAGATTGATAAACTCAATTTTAAAACCTAGTTATTCCTACTTAAATCAAATTGTGCTCAGTTATATGTGAAAAACATAAAACTTATTTTTTTTCATAGTTTATATTATTTCATAGTTTCATAGTTTATATATTTTAATAGTTTAGATTATTTCATAGTTTTTCATAATTTATACTTTACAAATTCATTTTTTTTTTCATTTCACAATTTTATATATATATATATATATATGTATATATATATATATATGTATATATATATATATATATATATATATATATATATATGTATATATATATATATATATATATATATATACATATATATATATATATATATATATATATATATATATATATATATATATATATATATATAAACTTTATTGTTTTTCTACACACTACACACTGATAACAACTTTAAAAAACTTACTTTCTGTATATTAGGCAATTTAAATAAGTGAATGAACCCTATAAGCTCAGAAGTAGTTATAGAATATGAAGTGAGATGAGAAATTATCTTGCCTGTTACTTTGAGTAAACCTTAAACAAAGAAAAAGAAAAACAATAAATTAAAAAAAATAATTCAATTAAAGTTTGTTTATATATAGTTACGTTATTTGACTCAAATTAATTTTATGATTTATATTAAGCTGTTATACATTATATATATATATATATATATATATATATATATATATATATATATATATATATATATATATATATATATATATATATATATATATATATATATATATATATATATACATATAATACATTTCATATTTAGCTATGTTATATATTTTACATTTACTTATGTTTAGTTTTTATATATAGTTATGTTAAGTTTTATATCTAGTTAGGTTTAGGTTTACATATAATTATATTAAGTTTTATATTTAATTATGTTATATGTTTCATATTTAGTTATACTTAAGAAAAATATTTAGAATTTTTGAAATTGTTCCAAATTTAATTTATAAGATATTCATTATAATCTATTTTAAGTGTAAATTTAACCTATTTTTTAAATACTAAGCATTTGACTAAAAAAAAAAATTATTTTTATTTATAATAATATTTTTACATTATGTCTTACCCAGATCAAATGTTACAATCACCTACAAATAATCCAACAACTGCAAATGTTAAAGTTTGTTTATATTTAGTTACGTCATTTGACTTAAATTAATTTTATGATTTATATTAAGCTGTTATATATATATATATATATATATATATATATATATATATATATATATATATATATATATATATATATATATATATATATATATATAAATGTTAAAAAAAACAACTTAACACTGCAAAAGTTCGAAAAACAGTAAAATACTGTAAACAAATATTATTGACTGCTTAAGTTTAAAAAAATAACTAAAAACAAATATACCTGTTTGATTTGCTTCAAGCACAGTAGATAAATCATTAATAATAATTCCTAAAAAACCCTAAAATAAAAAATAAAGACAAAGCTATAGCAAATCAATACATAAATATATAAACATAAATATATAAACATAAATATATAAACATAAATATATAAACATAAATATATAAACATAAATATACATATATATATATATATATATATATATATATATATATATATATATATATATATATATATATATATATATATATATATATATACATTTATATATATATATAAAATTAAATTATTAAAAATTAAAAAATTTTAAAAATTACATAATTTTTTAAGTTGTGAGTTATTTTTATAGTAACTTTTGCTACTACTTTTTTATAATATTCTTTATCTGTAACAATTTTAAGTGTTAAGTCTTTACCAAGTGTCCAAAATGAGCATTTTCATTAAGATCATCATCTCTTGTCTTTACTAAAACAAAAGTTTAGTGTCAGGTCAGGTGTATGGCTTTCATTACCCTGCTACTGGCAACATGTAACCCAGTGCAACCTGTTCCATGTTCTGTTGCCTTGTGGGATTTGCTTTCTAAGCAAAGCCTGAAAGAAATGTGCTTCCTGTCATCAATATTATTTAATATCTTTCAAGCCTATAGTAATATATTTATAATTTTTTTATTTATTTATTTTTTTGTGTGTGTATATTATATATTTGGAGGTGGCTTAGTTACTGTGTTACCACAACTGTAATTAACTTTATATGCATATTTATGTTCTGTTTAAACCATTAGCCCGGTGTTCACTCAACCATAAGTTACTTTATGTATGTTTGTGTTCTGTCTAAACGCCTGGCGCGGTGGTGACTTATTCATAAGTTACTTTATTTACATTTGTGTTTTGTTTAAGTCTTTGATGTAATATGAGTTCAGTAACTAACTAGTGACCTAATTAGTTACTGAGCTCACCTTAATCTTTAGTATTTTGTTAGATGTAGGAAGTAATTTCTTTTAACTAATCCATGTCAGGTCAGGTTCAGGATCATCTTGATCACCCTGCTACTGGTATCATGTAACCCAGTACTAGTTGCCCCATGAGCTGCAGCTTTGTAGGGTTTGGTTTTTTAGACAAAGTACAGGAGAAACAAATCCCCTGCCTTAGGGCTTTTGGTTGAGTAAAGGCTAGAAATGGTGTCTTGATAAAAATACTCATCTTGAGCAGATGTTAACTGCATCCAGCTATAATTTGCCTGCCTTAGAGCTCTTGGTTGAGTAAAGGCTAGAAATGGTGTCTTGATCAAAATACTCACATTAAAATACAGCTATTAACTGCATCAAGCTACTGTCTTGTAAAAGGCGTTGTAGGCAAAGACTTTAGGGGTAAGCAGAATAATTCTGTTAACCAGCTTTGAACCCCTTCTTCATCCATTAGGCTGGCGTAGATAGAAAACTGTGTTACATTTTTGCTGACTAGGATGATGAATGCTGGATCTTCATGACTCTACTCATAGGTTTTTGCTTGTGCATTTGTTTTGGGGTGCATAGTCAAGGCCACATAGGAGTCCAAAGTTAGGACCTGGGGTTGATTGACAGGACTGAGACAACTGCATAGCTCAATGCTTTGAAACCCATGCTCTATCTATGAATGAGTTCTACTCATTCATAGATAGAACATACTTACAAGTTTACTTTAAACTTAAATCATGCCAAAAGTAACCCAAAATATTAAACATAAAAAACAACTCCACCACTTAACTGTTTTAATATATTTTTTACAAATATTCGCAGTCTGCAAAGCATCCTTTCATCAGAATCTTATCTCTTGCAAAATTCACCATACTTGCTTGATCTTAGTGAGACTTATTTAAATTTTGCTATTCCTTCTTCAGATTTCAGTGTTAATGGAAACTATCATTTGATTCACGAAAACTTTAATAGTCACATACATATTAGGGTGTGTCATTTAAAAAAAAATTGATTTCAAAAAAGTTATATTTAAAAAATATTAGGATTTTATATATAAATAAGAAAAATAACCTTAGATTTTGTTGAATTTTAGTGTTAGCTACATTTTTTTAATTGTTAATTTTACTTTTTATGACTATTCTACTAACTACTTGGTGAGCACACACAGAAAAATGTTTAGCTGTTTTGAATAACTTTTTTCTGCCTAGAGTCGAACAGTTTTATTTTTAATTTCTTTAAGTATTCTATTTATTGTAAAAGTCAAAAAAAATTTTGAAAAATTCTGCTTATATGTGTTAAATATGTAAAAATATCATTATAAAAACCCTTATATTTTGTACAAAATACATATTATTTTTTATTATTATTTATATAGTAATTTTTACAAAGTAGTTTATTAAAAAAATAAATAATCTATTAAATATTAAGTGTTTATTAAATACAATAATATAAAACATATAGGTTAAGTATTAAAACAACAACAGAATGTTATACTTTTTATGCTTAACAAAAAATAATAATTAAAATATCACTATATTATTTATGTATAGCTTAGAAGTTTCATCATGTCTTTCTTGCTCCTATTAGCAGACATCAACTCTCTGCTAATGAATTGGGCTCTTATGTAAGCTTCTCTTCTTCCTGATGTGTGGATATGTCCTGCAGCTTCTGTGACTAACTGTACACACTTCTCAACTGATTGTGTATGTGAACTCCAATGGGGAACAACCATTGGGTTATTAACTAAATCTTTAATATCGATGTAAAATTGCATGTCAAAGGTGGTTCTGTTATATTATTGCTCCAGTCTATCAAGATAAAAAGGTCTTTAGCATTAATATTAATGTCCGGTGTTCTTCGATGTCTATGGCTATAAACACAAGTATTAGTTTGCTTGTGATATTTTTCACGAAGCTTAAGAATAATTTCCACAGCTTGAACTCTTTCTACTTTACTCTCACTGCATATCATAACTTGTAAAACAGCTTCTGAATGTGCATACTAAGCTGATCTTTTAACCGTGGACATTACAATATCAAGAACTGGATCCTCTGACTTCTGTGGAGTTCTATATGGTATAAAACGTGTCTTGGTCGTTCAACCCAACATGATTTAACTTTAATGTTAAACCAGTTTGGAATATAAACACCTACAATAAATTTGACAATCTATGTAAGATTTTGAAGGTTGGTGCCATATAGGCCATGCTGAGAAACCCATATCCTGCAAAATCTTAATGCTGTTGTGAGCCACCTGCTATGGCAAACAGGTCCTTTTTCTAGCATTGCTAACTGCTGAGGTAAATCACCAGACCTTATTGCTTTTGTTATTCTGTGAGCATAGCTCTGATCAGAACTTAAACCTTTTATTACTTCAGGACTTAAAACAATTAATGCAGGCCTAGCATCAATTTTTGTAAATCTGGGATTAATTTCAAGACTTGTTGCTGTATTAAACGTTTTTCCCAGTAGTCCTGACCCCTTATTTCCACATTTTGTTGGGCCCTCTAAGCTTATAATTAAATGTCTTAACCCTAACTCATTTGTGTGAAGATCGCACACAATCCACACTAATCTCTTTCTCAATTTTCTTTCCACCCATTGCATCACACCACCTTCCCAACCAGTATTTACATTTGTACTATTTCCTCCTATAGCTTTAAGTTGTGTTCCTAATTTTCTTTCCACCAACCAGTTAACCAAGTGTTCTGCAATTACCTCAGCATATTTTCTGTGATCAGTTTTATAAGAAACAAAATGAAATAGATATTTACCACTTAGTTCAGTAACAACAAAATAATGTTCTTCCTTAAGAAGACCAGGGAAATACCTATGATCGAATTCCGTTAATACAATTGTTTTATCTTGCCTGCCATCAAAAAAAATACAGGAAATCATATTATTTTCAAGATCTTATTCGATTGATAACTTCTCTTGCGCCCTTTTAACCTTGCTGTGATCAATAATCATCGATGTATCATTCTTTGTTATAATTTTTGCATCTATAAGTGCTGCTTTCGCTATTTCTGTGGTTTCCCGTAAGCTAGTGTGATGCCTCATACTAGAATGTGCAATGTTTGTTATGTCCATTCTGTTATAAACCTTTACAATATTATTGGAAGGTTCTGGTTCTTTAGAAATATTTGGTTCTGAGTCAACTTTATTCGTTTTTTTAATCTAGAAAAATAAAATTAATACAAGACTTAAACTTTGTGTTATTATCATCAAGTTAATGGTTTATAAAAAATCTAAAAAGTAAAATATATTGAGATAATTTTATAAATTACCTTTAATAATTTTATAAATCAACATTTAATTTCTTTAAAAATAGTTATATTAGAATTATTAACTAACAAACATATTTTATTATTACTTGAGTAATTTGTGCAAGACAATTATGATCTTCTAGAACCATTTGGTTAAGTTTATCTTCTTTTTTAAATTTTTTAACTCTCATTTCTAATTGCTGCTGATACTCCTCTTTTTTCTTTACAACTTGTTTTATTTTTTTTGATTCTATTGTGTCAACTCCGCCAATATTGTAATGGGCAAAACTTCCAACTTTGGCTCTCTGTAACTTGATAAAGCTGAGTTCTATAACAGGAATTTTGTTTTGGCGTACACACATACATTTAATATGCGCCTGCTTTTTACAGCCTTGATCACAACCATACTCTGAACATAACATTATTAAACATTTACAGGATAAAATATCAACAAGTTTGTCAATTTTTGGAATGAAACTATCCTTTATTGACTTTTTTACATTTGCAAGGCTAACTTTAACTGCAGTTTCCCACAGATAATTCAGTTTAGCTTTAATACTACATTTTTTTATTACTACTGGATGTAAAAACTTGCAATTATCTTTTTTCCATTGAGCAGATAAAGCAAGAGTCATATCATTAACTAATTTATCGACAGTATAGTTTCTTTTATTAAGGTCACTGGTCTCTCTTAAAAATAATCCATATCTTAAAATGTCCCTTGCAGTAGGGAGCTCAGATGGTAAATAGGGTTTTCTTTTTCCAACATATCTACTTAAGTGAGTAGCTGATAAATTTCTTGTGATTTTTGGTGCCATTATTTTTATTAAAATATAATTTT